CGAAATTAAACCGATTCGAATCCTCGACATTTTCACGACTGGTGATTCGTGAAAACTAGAAACTTCCATATAGTTTGGAAGAACAAAGTTTTTTTTTCGTTACACCTTGCACGCATCCCTCGCGTGCAAATCGTGCAATTACATCCCCATAAATCATAATCCAGCTCGTCATGATTCAGTGCCAGAATTCAGATTCGCGTTCGCGAATTAAGTCTCGTTAATTAATCGCTAAAGCTGCGCAACCGTACATCGATCGGGATTATTTAATTAGCAAGATTAATACTTGACGAGAAAGAAGTCGTAGAACCGCATTCGACGTTGAAATATGAACCGGAAGAATAATCTCGCGAAAAATGATCCTTTGATGCGATCTTTAATTATTACTAGTCGCGAGGGGCTGCGTGCGCTCGTGCATGATTCTGATTCGCGTCGAAATTCGCGTAATTCCAAAAATAAACGTAGAATTTTACGCTTCTCTATCTATCGCGCGAAGATACATATCCATCCAACAGTTACAATGCTTCTCGTATGTATTATATTAAACATCAACTATATTTTAAGGCCATTTTATGGGGGAGTCGCGCGGAATCGTACAACATCAGCGAAAACCATCCCTTCGTTTCTTTTGCTTCCCCACCCCTTTCTTTCCTCCCCCGCAATCCTGCGTCCGACTGAAATTCGATACGATCGCGATCCCGTTTCACATCTCGTCATCGGAGATTGATACCCGGTGTAACTCCAGCGAGTTCAATTCTCTCGATGTCGCAGATACGGAAAAATAAACCTTACGGCTATCGCAGGATTGTTTCTGTTATCATGAAAAAACACACACACATACACACACACACACACACACACACATAGGTATCACTTTCGCGTGCAGCTAGTAGCGATATTTGATCTCGTGAAAATTGCAACGGTCTCGCGATCTCTGATCAGCACGAAACTATAAAAAAGCGGTCGCTCGCTTTTTCTTTTTGTTGCAAACAATTTCTTTCTTGCATGACAGTTAATAATAGGAGACGAAACGACCATTTTTGCAAAACGACTCATTCTTCCTCGCGCGACTTGCGGAAATTTTACGATAATCTTTCATTGCAAATACATTCATTGTCTCGGTCGATCGAAGGTTGACTTTTCCGCACACGAAGGTAATTCTTGTAAAAATGTGAATTTAGTTATTTCTGGTGATTTTAACTCGTTAACTAATCATTAAAAAAGAAAAAAGGTAAATTATACGTACGTGCTGCAGGATAATATCAAAGACGAAATTATGTTCGCTACAGTACGAAATTTAGCATATTGTATATTGCGCAATGTTATTTATCTCACCACACGCGTGCGATACCCGAACAATCCGCCTTATATGCGATTTTAATAGATAATGACAAAGAGCAAAACTGCTGTCTCTTATTGTCGTTTTATATGTTCCGTGACATTTCGCGTAACGTGACGAAATTAGATTTTTCGCGTGTAATATAATCGTGGTATGCATGGCCGCGTTAATACGGTTCTCCAGCAATTAACGCATGCTACTTAACTGTTGCGTAATTATCACGCGCGAGGAATCGCAGTCTTAAACGAACAATCACGGTGGGAAGGAGCGCGACCTACGTTTTTCCTTTACCCATTTTCTCTCGTCCCTCTTTCCATCCGTGCCGCTCGAGTCGGTACGCGGTACCGGTAAATTTCGTTCGCTCGCGACTTTAAACGTCACACTCCGTAAATCTAACCGGTTGACCGAAATCTACTTGCCACGGGGTAATTATTTGGTGGTATCGTTTATTTGATCGTACAAAAGACGCTCGACCTCCTTCTCGTTTTCTTCCTCTATCCTATATAGACGCAAAAGGAAACGCAATTCGATAGACCGAATACATTTCCCGACGTTCCGATAAAACGAAAAAGATACATAAATTAACAATAAAGGATAAAAAAATAAAAATTATAATCGACAATAATATATTTTTTCATATAATCGTGCAATCATTACGTTATGTATATATATATATATCTGTATATGTATCATTCTATATATATATATATATATATATATATATATATATATATATAATATATAATATATAGAATGGTCAAGTTAATATTTACACTATAGTACTTCTATGATTTTTGCGGATCCGTGTGTTTGCACAACAATCTTCGTATGCTCTTAATCTACCTAGCTTCTCTACCGCACCGGTATGGGGCTATGGCAACTAACGTAATAATGGCAAGTACTTGCTGACGGAAAATCGAGAGAGCCGATACTTGACGGTGGGTGCAAGTATACAGTCTTTGTGCGGAAAGGAGCGATCGAAGAGTCGCGATGAAGAGAGACCGATTTATCTCGCTGTGCGCAACATCGATAAATGTATCGTATGTGAGATTCTTGGTGAGATTAAATCCTCGAAATTTAATAACTTGTGCCTGACGTATTTTCTTTTTGCATTTTTTAAACCAAGATATTTTTAGAATATTCGAGACACCCTGTACACGGCGAGACGCCGATTATCCGAATATAAAAAAATGGGGAAGAGAGAGGGCGACCTACATAACATATCCGTTATTGATTAGCCGTGCAAAATTCTCACATGAAGAAAAACACAAACAAAGTGTAATATTGAAAAACAAAATCATGATACAAATATGAAAAAGTATTCATATAAATTTCCGCATAAATATTTTCTATAAAAATAGAGCGTTTCAATAGAATATAAAGTAAAAAATGTTTCCCCGTTCTTTTTTTTTTGCTTGAATATCGATCGTGCGGAAGAATTAGCGTTCAGGATAATCGGCGTCCGAAACAATTGACGCTTTGCAGCATTTCGAGACTTTATACGAAACGCGCTCATTGCTCGCGACTAAGCCGATTAGCTCGACAATCCGGCACGCACAATCAACGTAATTGCTATGTTGTTTCACACTCGTCGGTTTTTTTTCACGTCTAGATCTCGACTCCTGTCAGATACAAATATTTTCGTTTATTCAGCCTTTCTCTTCTTCCTTTCTTTTCTGTTGCAAGATGCACGCGCTCTTCTCACTCTCAAGATTTCGCATAACATATCGTGAAACGACAATCGTCACTTTGGTGGGAACGTGCGATAAAGCTCTATTTAGCGTCAGCGGATCTTACACGCGGAACTGTGGAAATGACAAACACAACTGGGAAGGACGGGGAGGGGGGGGTGGAGGATGGGGCTTTGCTATTGCTGTGATCGAGTCTTATCTCTAATACATTCAACAACTAGAAACAGAGAAACACTGAAATCGTGCCGCAGCCGAATATGAAAGTCTCGACCCACTGTGTGTGTGTGTATATGTATGTGTGTTTGTGTGTTGTATGTACCTATGTGGAAGTTCTTTGTGCAAACCTATTTTTACCTATCTCTCGCGTCTAGTGCGTACGTGTGTGTTTCTCCTTTCTCCCTCTTTCCTCGTTTTTTCCCTTTTGTTTTGGAGTTTTAGGTCACGAGGGTGTAAGCCGTAAAACGCGTACGCTCGAGCAGGCGGAGTGTGGAAGCAGTCGGGAAGTTATTATACGAGCCCACGAATCGCTCGCCGCTTGGTTACTGCCTCATCCTACAATGTACATACATATATACACGGCTGCTGCGCAAAAACAATGTGTTCGAGACATTACTCAACATACATACTTGGGGGAACTGCACGGAGAAAAAGAACTCGCCGACACGGCCGAATTTGTCACTGTCGCCGGTGAGTTTCGTTAGTTGTTATACTACGAACAGCAAAAAGACTTGCCTGGGAGACGCTAATCTTGCTCGCTAGAAATTGCCTTCTACAATTCTAATTACAGAATCACGAAATAGTATATTCTCGAGGCACTTTTGTTGTATTAACAACATCTTTTCAGCCCGATATTTTTGGAGTTTTTCGCACAAACCATATCGCGGATCATCTTGCTACAATGATAAATGAACCACAAGTTTTCGTCGATGGAAAAATTTTGTAGGATATTCAACAAATTTGTAATATTAATTATTAATTATTAATATAATTTCAATGTCGTTAGATTTAGACAAGTCTCGCTGAATCGCTAAATAGATAGCAGCAGTGACAGTATCGCTGTGACGGGGAAGCTCCTTCTCTTGCTGCGTATATGAGGAGGTAGAAATCGCAGAAAAATGCTCCCCTCGCGTATTCGGGAGAGGGGAAAAAAACGGCTCTGCAAGGACGATGATAAATTTATACCTCCGAGGGTTTCATTTTATTCTCCCTCGGAAGAGAGATGAAGAATGCGGGCGTGTACACGTGCGCACGCGATTCTCTTTCCGTATGATTAGAAAAAAAATAAAAAAAAAAAGATGAAGAAAGAATGTATTTACATATACATACATCTCTGCAACACATATCATGTATACAATAAAATAATTCGATCCAAAGATAACACAGAACATCCAGTGTTCAAATTCAATCATTAATTTATACATTCTGTGATAAATAATCTGATAAATAAATTTCTGCGATCACACTTTCAATTTAGAGAGCGGCGTAAACTCTGATCGATAATTTCGACGCGAAAGAAGAAAAAAAAAACAAAAAACAAAAAAAAAAAAACATTTGTGAGTGCGCGCCCGATATATAATTGCAATATACCTAATATAATTTAATCGCGTACCGTTGCATCGCCGCATTCTTCTGCAGTTTTTCCTCCGCTTCAAACGTCGGACAGAAAAAGATCCACAAACTTTCGTCAAATGAACAATTATTAAACAAAACAACAGACCATACGATATATCACTCAAGAACCCAAAGATTTGATATACATCTCATCTTTTCTCCTTTAAATTTAATGCAACACACGCTGCGAAAAATGCCTTTCACTTAGTATCTTCTCCCATTCAGTACTATTTGTAGATATATACATACCATATATATGTTATGTATCAGAGATATATGTATATAAATATATATATATATATATGTATGTATATATGTATGTATGTATGTATATATCCATATATTTCTGATACAAAGTTTGCAAAAAATAAATTTAATCTCAAGGTAACTGAATGTGTATATATGTAGAAAATATTTCTGATATATACATATATCAGAAATATTCCCCAAAATTCTTAGTGTCGTATATTCAGAATAGCAGTCCGGAAATTAAATCCGGATCTTTTGCTCGACATGTTCTGGCATTAAGCTATACAGCTTATATATGTATGTATGTATTTATATACATATATATATAGACACATACATATATATATGTACAAATGTATATATTTATATATTATCCTCCTGAGTCGGTAAGCTGAAAGGCAATTTTCATGCGCCTCCTTGCCGTACACGACATACAAAAGATACCACAGAATATACACATAGAATAACGAATTACGTTGTTAAATTCCGAACAAAATTCACAATAATGATGCCTCACGACAGTCCGCTCCTCTCTACTTATCTATATATGTATACCACTTGCGTAAATAAAGGTGATTTCGGTCTAAAATTATATCGCTAATAGGCGCTTCCTCTCCTCGCACGGGAGCGCGCGCGCCGCTCCCGGAAAAATTACATGTTACAATAAGGTAATTAGACTTCTTTTACTCACTAACGTAATAATTAAAAAAATCTGATTACTCTGAAAAATTCGAGATTACTTTTTAAAAACTGTTCCTCGGACAGTACATCTTCTATTTCGAACGCTTAACTGCTTTCGTTTTTATTTATTTCTTTTTTTTTTTCACTGGTATACACCGTCGTACATTCCCGCGTATACGCACTCTTTTTTCCACTCTTTCCTTCGTGATTTCAATTTAGTTTTCAACATTTATATCTTGTCCTTATTATGCACTTCGCCCGTGTGGGGGGCAACTTAGGACCATCACATAATTCACTATTGCGATTAATAGAATCGTTACGCGTTAATTACGAGGTATGTTTATGTCGAAAAATTAGCAGCACGTTTATTCTTATTTTGATTATTCCACCTGTGTGAGTTTTGTATATCACATATTTTAGACATTTGTTCCGGTGTGTCTTGCAGATCTTCATCGTGTTGATTTCCCGGCCTCTTTGTACGTTCCCTCTCGTTTTTTTCTCCTCGAGATTTGTACCACATAGATTCGACAAATCAACGAAGTTGCACTTGATAATACGTAAATGATCGTGACGTTCCGTGACCCGGTTGGTTTACAGTCCTTTACTTTTTATTTATTTGTGAAATGATTCGATTTTAAGTTTTGAAATTTCAAGTACGGCACACGCACTGCTTGCGTTCCTTTTATACACTGGTACGATTAAGTCCCCTTTTATTACAGTGCAAATTTTATTTATACGCTTTACGTTCTTTCATTGTGGATTGATGCTTCTGTTCAAAAGTAGATAATATGATTATATTATTCGCTCTCGGCGTTACTACTGCTTCGCGTTCGATATATACAATTTACATTCCGGATACATTGTTTCACACTGTGCGAACTTATATTCGTCCTATCTACGTTATCGCGGCTTCCGTTAGAGTTTTAAGCAGTTCATTAGAGCGTAATATGAGGCGTCGAGTGTCATTATGGCGTATACACATGTTTCTCTTCCTCCTTCCCTTCGTTTTTACAGCACTGCACTCTTGTTATATGAAGATCTTAAGGATTGTAGAATCTCAGTAAAAAGGGTCACGTGAAAAGTTCGATTTACGATCAGCCTAGCGTTTCCCTCGTTTACACATTTAAATTAATTTGATATACCTAACATGATACTGTATGTTTTACACATATGAGGGCTTTCTTTGTTATTTTATTACTATCGCCTTCTTGGCGATTTGATTGCCGAGTTCTTTATCAGCCTTGGCCACAGAAAGAATCGTCTCTCTTAAAAATCTTTAACAAGAACCAATCAAAGAGAAATAACATTTGCAATAAAACTAATGGATTCGCAATATTCATCTCGTAATTTCAAATAGACTCAGAAGAAAGATAACCAATTGAATGATCAAAATAATGTATATAAATTAAGGAATATAATTTCTTTGTAAAAAAATTTATTATCTGCGCGTAATATGATGTAATAAGCGTTGATATAAAAACGTAATATATTCTCGTAAAAAAGAAGAGAGGAAAAAAATTACACTTAATAATATAAGGTAGACAAAGGTGGCAATTTCGATAAGAAAAATAAATGACGATCGTTTTACAATATCTTTAAAAATAATATTACTGTCACACAGCGATTTACGTGATTCATTGCATCGTAATATATTAGATATTAACAATAAAAACAAAATCATCGTAATAAATAGAATTTCTTTAAAGAATAACAAACACAATATATATAGACGAGTACAAAGGGAAGATTATTATAAAGAACTCGGCAAGAGATTCATATACTGCGAGTGCTCGCAATATTACTGGACTTACGGCTCTAAACATTGTTTGATTGTTTAAATTATTTTAGGTTAGTTCCTAGTTGACCATAAGTGTATGTGATTCCATGGGCGCCGCACTATCGTACAAGGTATCCGTGTCTTGCGTAGGCTCGCCCTGCAGCTGACACTGATTGCTCAACGTTCCGGCGCCGCAATCGCAAAAGAATCTAGAAATATTAATGCACACGATTACATTATAGTTATTCCATTTATGGCGCGTCTAAATAATGCACGGAATCAAGCGTACGAGCTCACCGATCGTGTCTGATGAATTCCACATCGTGGCCAGCGTGACATGTTTTTATACAGTTAACGCATATCGCGTTCCGATCCGTCGTGTTGCACGTTTGACAACGGTAGAAGTCGTGCATGGGGAAGGAAGTGTACGAAGAGATTTTGTATAAACATTGGCCGTTCCCAACCGCTTTCTCCACCGCGTCTTGGTTATTAAATATTTTATTGCCTAAAAAAAGAAAAGAGCGCGTGCGATATTTTCTTGTTAGAAGCGCCGGCAATTGGCCACCGGAAGCGAGTGGTGTTTACCTCTAGTCGTCGGTTGCACCCCGCTCGCTAGACACAGACCGCCGAATCGATTATTGAATATTTGATTGAATTCCAGGGTAGCCGTGGCGTTGTTAGTTATTTCGACGCCGGCTGCCAAGCCATCGAAAATCCGGTTCCTCCTCAGGATCGGCTGCGATTGCGTCGATATAAGCACGCCCGCTTGCGCATTGTGAAATATGTCGTTCTCTTCCAAAATACCTGTATCGAGACGCGCAAAAATCACAATTCTGTCTAATTTTCAAAGAGACATAATGCATTCAATCTCATCCATTATATCTGCATGCAAGGATTCCTTAATTTTTATTGTACTTTTTATAATAATCAGTGTTTAGAAAATTATTATAGAATCATTAATTTTTCAGATCAATAACTTACAATGTACTTTAATATGTATTGATACTTTCTTTAGCCAGTATAAATTTGAGTAAAAACAGACAAAATATGTTTAACTTCAAAAGAAAATCATTTAAAAGAATTTTAAATGTAATATTTATCACTTAGTCAACGACTGGAAAGTTATTACCAAAATCGTGCTAAAGAGAATGCTTTACCTTTGCCTCCGTTAAATATACAGATTCCGCCGTCTCGTCCATCGAATATCTTGTTTCTTTTAAGAGTCGGATTGCTGTCTGTCTTGATCCAGACGCCAGCCATTGCATTGTCAAAAATCTCATTTTGTTCGAGTAAGCCTAAGCCACTATTATACACTAAAACGCCGCCGTTTTGTCCTCCCCATATTTTATTACCGCGTATTACTGGATTGCTGCCAGTCCTGGAGAAGAAACACCGATTTTAGCCGATTTTCTTACCGTTATATTTCGCTTAAACATCAAAACTTTCAGCTTACAACCCTTTCGGAAGTGACAATTACCTTATTTGTACTCCTGAATACAAATGATTGAAAATATCATTGTCCTCCAATTTTCCGTGGCCGTTGTCGTAAAAATATACGCCGACCTGTTTGCCACTGTGAATTCGATTTCGCCTTAAAACGGGCGTCGAACCCGTTGTAATCCACACGCCTGCTAAAGTATTGGCATACACCTCGTTCTCCTCTATCAAGCCCTGGCCCTTTTCGTGCACGTAAATGCCGCCGTGCTGACCGTGATGTATTTTGTTGTGCCGGACGATCGGATCCGAATTTGTCCTGATTTGTATACCAGCTAGTGCGTTGCCGTAGATGTTATTGTGCTCGATCAAACCTCTGCCCTCGCCGAATATGTACACTCCACCTTGATGGCCATTATATATTTCGTTCCGACGTATAGTCGGATTAGAATTCGACGTGATCCATACACCAGCAAAATTGTTCGAATGAATTTTGTTGTCGATGAATTGTCCCAGGCCATTCTCATGTACATAGATGCCGCCAGTCTGGCCGTGATGAATCTCGCAGTGAACAACGGTAGGATTAGCACCGGCTTTCACCTCGAAACCCGCTATCCGATTGTTGTGAATATCGTTAGCTTCGAAGTAACCGAGCCCGTTGTCGAATGTGAATATTCCTACATCGCGACCGTGATGGATGTGATTCCGTCGCATGATGGGATTCGCGTAATTCTTCACCCAGATGCCAGCGAGGGCATTCCGCGAGATCTCGTTGTCCTCGTATGTGCCCTGAGCGTAGTCGGTCACGTATAATCCAACGTTCTCACAATCCGATATGTCGCAATTCTTCACTAACGGATTGGCACCCACGCCTGACACGCAGACCGCTGCACCAACTAAAAATTAAAAATACGTAATCTTAATGAATACAATTTCTAAATTATTTATATTGTGTATTGAACAAAGTATGGAATTTTTGAAAATAACTTGCTTTATTCTTTCAAAGATTGTAATGTATATTGGACAGTCATATATATCTTGTAATAATTTTATTATAAAGTCATAGAGATTTATTTAAGTTTTTGCTACGGCGATAATTCCAAATCTCAAGTTCTAAATTTTAGTTAAAACATTTTCATCAATCTTATATCAGTCTATAAAAACATTACGCATACACTTACCAACGCTCGAGCTTCTGATGATGCAGTGATCGACGGTGGGACTGCAATTTTCGCCAACTTCCAAACAATAGTGTTTGTGATGGGGCACCGTACTCGTGACATCGGGCGTGAATTTCAACGTGAGATGTCCAGCGTAAGCGCGTTTTGCACCCTCCACAAACATAACCGTTGACTCGCTTTCTCGCTCCAGAATGACGGACTCTGCGACATTTCCTGGCGCGGCACCAATCAACGCTACATCGCTGTCGATCACAAGGAACTCGCCTCTATACGTGCCAGCGTGTAAAAAGACCAAATGCTGCGTCGATGTGTCCTCCCCGCTTGTTTGCGAATTGCTATTGCAGCAACCCTGGCCGCCCGCAGCTGTAGCCCCACTGTTTGCCGAGGCGCTGTTGCTCCTGTACTCATCGACGTAGTCCAGCGCGCCTTGAACCGTATTGAAGTACGGCAAGTTACGGCCCTTAAACTTCAAGTCCTGAAAGCCAGGCCGCACGTGCACGCCTCTGTATAGCTGCCTGAAACTCTCCTTCCACGGATTCTGGTACTCGGACTCGTCCGGCGAGACGAATTCGAATTTACATGGCGCTGGATTAAACAGCGGCAGATCGTACTCGTAGACCTGCTGGTACAGCGATTTCCACAGTTCCGTGTCATTCGCGATCGCTTGGAAACGCTTGCAGACTTGCGATACCCGGCAAAGATCTTGCTCCATAAGATAATTGAATATCGTGAGCAGCACTTCATCCGGTAGCTCGTACTGGAGGTAATGCGCCGCTGTGTTAGTGTTTATACCTGCCGTGAGAAATTAAAATTAGTAGAATCTAATGAAATTTAGCGAATTCAGAGTTGAATTTCTAAAGATCCACGTGTCAAGAAATGAGCACAATGTTAAATGGAGCATTGGAATTTCTACGTTGCATATATATCATTACTATTACGAAAACATTAATATTTACGATACATCCACCATTATATGTTAATCCTTTGTCTTTCGATACACACAGCAATTTCTAATTCCACATGTCAAACGTTAGTAATCGCGTATATTGAGACGTACCGTCCGTGGACAGCGAACATGTCCGTCTCGGACGCTTTCTCGCCGGTAGGGACGACGATCCGAAGGTAGCGGCAATGCCACCCGATGGCGGTAGGGCGGAACTCGTGCCGGGCGCCGGATCTGGATGCGGTGGACTTTTTCGTCTCAGGTCATATGGCGACGAGTGCGATTGAGGTGACGGGGAGGGAGCAGCCACTCCGGATACACTAGGGGACGAGCCTCGTCCACCACTTCCTCCGCCTCCACCGCCAACTACTACTGGAAGGAGCTGATTGGATATCGGCAGATCGCATGGCTCGGCTAAGAACACAAAACGAGATCATTAGAAAAATGGAAAACAAGAAAGAAAAGGTGAGAGAGAACACTTCTTTCATAAACCTCTCAAAGATGATAGAATTTCTGAAAGTTTCCTGAAAAGAGAGAAAAAGACCGTTTTAGAGAAGGAAGTTTTTATTCCGCAGATTTGTAGAAATTTAATTCGGAGGATAGAAAAAGCAGTCTCTCTGATTTTTCTATCTCTTTTTCCGTTTCTTCAATCTCTCTCGAATACAGTCTCTTTGCGCGAACATGAATAAGCTTGTGTAACATTATACTTGTACATCATATTAATACAGTTGTATATCATATTATAAACAAAAGGCATTTGTAGCCGCAAACATTCGCTATCTGCTGTGTAATTTATAGCAAGCCAGGGATCATTAGAGAAATTTGCATGGTGACACGAGGTGGCCTTGTTTTACAAATGCCGCGGCATAAATTGTCAAGTGTATATAATGTCGCAAACCCGCATGGAGAATCCGTTAATAAAGAACAACGTTACGATTACGTGTATTTCAATATAATTGTTGACACGCAAATCCAATTACGCGTCAATGCGCAATGACGAAATCACGAACAACGAAAATGGCACGTACATACGAGTCGCCGCTTCAAATTTTTTTTTTCAACGTTTCAAACGTATCGCAAAGTCAAAGAGCGCGTATCGTACATACAATAAACTTCAATGCGCCGCGTATACCTTTTCCAATAACGCGCCTCTGCGTAACGCGATTACGATGGAATGCACGAGCACGCGCGATATGTTTCGTTCTATCAACTGCGATCTCCGTTATCGCGAGACTGAAATTCGCGCCGGCACGCCAAAGCGCAAAGCTGACAGAATCTGAAGCCCGTGAACAATATAGGGCCCGGTGCTCTCCGACTATACCGTCTCTCTCCGTTCGTCGCCGAATCGTTATCGCGTCGACGGGGGCACCGCGATACCACGGGCGAGTCGTCGTCGTCGTCGTGGCGCGCGCGGGGCTCCCATTCCGCTCGTTCTGTAAACAGCGTTTCTCGACGTTTCACTTTCTAGCTGGCTGACACACGCGGCGGACGCACGCAGCGCACGATCCGCGAGAGACGCGCGCGTCGATTTCGGGGGGCCCCGGGGATACTCTCGATCACGTTTCCGGGTCACGCCGAGTCCTCTCGCGCGAAAGTGGAGCACCGGTAATTCATCACTCGAGACCGCGCACCGCCGGCGCCGATACCGCGTAACAGACGTCGGGGGGTCCTTCTGCAAAAAAGCTCCTTTAAATGCCTCGTCTGTCGGTGAACATTGTGAGAGCGATTTAAATTCGGCAATCTCGAGATTCTCGAACACACCCGTCACGGTTAAACCGACAGCAAGGTTTTATCGGGTGACACCATTTTTATTCTTATCTAATTTCACAATGTAATACAAATATCCGAATACCTGAGTGCCAACTATACTAATGTTTTTGTTCTTATCTAGTTTCACTTGAGAGTGCCAACTATAACAGTCTATGTGTTACATTCGAGTTTAATTAATTAATTTTTCAATCTACAATTCTCGTAGAGGATATACATTGCTTTCTACTTTTCTAAGAATTTCAAGTATCACCCTGGCGTGCGAATAATCAGCCTAATGATAACTAAACCTCTCCGAATATTCGAACGCCTCAAGAATGTTTGCTCTCTCGTCCTCCCATTTTGCCTCCGTCTGTTCTCTCGCTTCTGCTCTCCTCCTCTCAATGTTTCTTCCTCGGCTGCTCCCTCTCTCTCTCTCTCTCTCTCTCTCTCTCTCTCTTTCTCTCTCTCTCGGGCCGCCGGAAAATTCGGCACCGATCGACGCGTATCCCGCAAGCTGCGCCGCGTTCCAGCTGGATCGCCGGCGATTGAACGAAGCGAGGAGAGAGAAAGAGAGAGAAAGAAAGAAAGAAAAAAAAAAGAAAAAAAGAATGCGGGGAGGGAGAGGGCGACTCCGGAGCCGACATTCCGGCGGATTGATCGCGAAGCGGAGATCGCGAATCGATACGATCGGCGAATCGCGGGGACCGCTTCTGCACGAGGCGCACAAAAGCAGACGTTCTCCAATCGAGAGCGGGGAGGAAGGGGGAAAGGGAGAAGGGGGCTTCGCTCGCGATATTGCGTTACAATAAGGGTCGCGTTCCCTCGACGGTATCGCCGTGTGGGGTCGTTCAACCCTTATTATATTATAGCCCCGGAGACACGCGGGGCCCCGCGAGATACACGTTATCGCAATCCACGGCTCATCGTTCCCCGTCGGCGAGGACGCGGCGGGCGCCTAGCCTCTCCCCCTCGTTTCGCGTCTCCTCGTGCGACTCGGGATTTTACGATTTTGCGAATCCGCCGATTCGCGTTCGTTCAAGGCCGACGGGATTTACGGGGATCCTAAATGATCCGTACCGTTTGCTCGACTCCATTGTTTACTCGCGAATCCGCGAGCCCGCGATCTCAAGAGTCAAGATTGCCAAGAGACGCCGCGTTCCGCAGCTCATTCCGGAAAGAAAAGAAAAAGAAAGTGTCGCAACTCGCAACCTCTCTCGGGGTCCACGGCCGTGCTCCGCTCTCGTGGACGGCGTGGACGCGCAGCCGCCAATCAGAAATTATTCACAAATACCGAAAAGCAATATGGCCGTTAGTAGCTGCCAATCGGAAATTGCCCGCAAATCCGAAAAGCGATTCGCGAAAGGGGCCGCGGATCCGGATCCAGAGCATTTGACGGCATTGCGAGGTTCTGGCGTTTAAACTGTCAAACACGCGACTGTCATCTGACGTCGGCCAAAGTTTGCCTAAAGTCCCTTTGTCACTTGCAGCTGCGAGGGTGCGAGTTGCGACGCGACTCAGGCCGAGTCGTCCCGAGTCCCGAGCCGTCTCCGATTGACAGCTTTGCCACATTCGACGCTACCTAACCTCAGCGCCGCGACGCGTAGAAATACACGGAGCAGCCGCGGCACGCCAATGTTTCGCGAACAGCCTATTCCCCGCTACATCACAATTACTGCTATAACGATTACGCCTAACTCTTAAATCACTGGACACAGACAGTTTGAGGTCACCTCTTTTTCAGCACCTTTCCGAATTACATATACTCCAAGCGAGAGCGAGGTTTCGGGGGGGAAAAGGGACGGAAAAGGGAGCCAGAGAGCTCGAGGATCGTGGGAAAATAGAACAAGTCGTCGGAGAAAAATGGGCGGACAGCGGAGCGAGCAGGAAACGCAGCGCGTGCTCGTAGTTCCAGGGGAACAAAGGCACGATGGAGACGGTGGAGATCCGGGATCGTCGCCGACACGCGGGGCATCCACGCCTCGGGATCTCGACGCGGTTCCCGATGGCGGACGGGGCTCCTGGACGGAGAGCCGCCGCGACACGGAAACCCGTCTTTGTCTCCTCGCTCTCTCGCTCGCTCCCTCGGTCCGTCCCTCTTCGCTCACTCGTACTCGTCTCTCGTCTCGTTTCACTCGCTCCTTCTTCGTCTCGCGCGTTCGCCTCGCTCGCTCATTCACTCGCTTACCCGTTCTCGACGGCAAGGGGATCCTGTTTGTGTTTTTCCGACGCGACCTCCGCACGTAGCTGCGCGACGACGAGAACGACGCGCTCGGCATCTTCGTGTCGTCGGAATCGTCGGCGGCCCTCGGCGGTCGTCCTCGTGTCCGTCCTCGTTGCCGTCGTTGTCCTCCTCCTCTTTTCTCCGCCGCCCCCTCCTCCACCGCCGCCTCCTCCTGCCGCTCCTGTTCCGCCGTCGATCGCGGCTCGTCGCGCTTCCCGCGGCTGCGAGGTGGGCGCGAGAGGTCCGGCGGTACCCTTCCCGGCGTCCCCGGCGATCGGGCAGCCGCCGCGGTACCCTAGTCGGCGGACACCCACGGCAGAAGCTGCCAAAATCTTAGGATACACTACACAATAGCGACACTACCACCGTGCACGGCGGCCATCTTCTTGGTATCTGCTCGCCGACTGGCCCAGAGGGCAGCCGCCAATCGGACAAGTTTCTGCCCCGCGCGAGTGCGTGCCGTGCACCCCCCACCCCCCATTCGACCCGCACCGTCAGTATACCGTCCCGTCACCCCGCCACTCAACCCTCTGCCTGGCTGCGGCGCTTCTCTCTTTCTCTATCTATCTCTCTCTTCCCCGCAAACTCCGCCGACGCCACGGGGCTTATTACCGAGCTCCCCTTCCGCAGTGGAGCGCGACACAGACGACCGACATCGGTTATGGAGTTATGGAGGCCGCGGAACGGAGTACCGATATCTCGGCGACCTGCGTCTTCCCGATCCTCGCGTGCTTAGCGCTCTCGATCGTCTACGTGGCGAGCCTGTATGTCTGGAGTTCGCCGTACAGCAGGTACGTTGCGGTAAGCGGTGTTCGCGTCCTCCGCGCGGCGTGCGGTGCGGCGTCGCACTCTCTCGATCTCGACGACGGTCAACCGTCAACGGGCCGTTCCCCCCCGCGCTCCTTCCATCTCCCTTCAAGCGTCCAGGTGAGACTCCTCGCGCGGAGGAGGCTCGTCGGAGCGCACTTTTTCCTCTTGCCTGTTCGGTAAACCGCTACCCGATCGCGAACCGTCCCGCACCGATCGGATGGGTACTCTGTGACTGGTCGACTGACGCACGCAGTTGTCCGCACGTGATGGCGCTCTCTGTCGCGGCGCCACGCCGCTCTCCTCTGGAGAAACCTGGAATTTCTGGACAAGCGGCGCCAGCGCCGCCCGGGGAAACGGACAACTCCGACTCCGCGAGGAGAGGAGGACGGCGCGTTCGTCGCGTCGTGTGCCATCTACGTAGCGCGCGATAAGCGGCCTCCGTTTGGCGCCGATATTCGAATCCGAGCGCGACGACGTTCAGTTGTTCGACAATAGAATTATCGGAGTAGTTAACGCGATTGCTTTGTAATTTTGTATAAAAATTACTTAAATTTACAACACCGTCAATTTCTAGCGCGTTACGTTACGCGTAATTAATCTGTCTACTTGTAAAAAAGATTTTACATGTCATACTTTGACGTTAAGGGTCCATTCGCATCAGTAGGTCCAAAAAATAGGTGAATTTAAATTATTCAATATTTTTGGATTATATTTATGATACTTTTAAGTAGTTATACAAATTTTTTCAGCCCATTTGGCGAAGCGGGATACTGGGCAACGCGCGGAATAGGTTGCTCCATGGCGGAAGTC